TTACAAGATCTGTCAAATCTACTGAACCCGAATCTCTGTACAGGTTCAGTAGATTTGACAGATCTTGTAACCACCACCAAAACCTGGAAATATATGTAAATTATGCTTTTTTCATTCTAGGATGACTACAAATTACAATTTGAAAACACAAATGTTTAGTCTAAATAGCTTAAATGTCATAACAGGTACAATATAGTTTTTCTTAAACAAAGTTTGATAATTATCTTGAGGTTATAAGGATTTCGCATATCAAAATTGAAAATTTCTGATGCATAAAAGTATTTTAATCTTAAAATGAAAATTACTTTGCATGTCGGATAGGCAACATGCAAAAAGAAAAAGGCACGAGAAAAACATTACTTAAAACATCGTTAGGACTTAAAAGATATATGATATTTTGCATACGAAAGCCTCGTAACGTTTACTGATAATTTACCAAATTTTGTGAACATACGCTTACCAATTTAAGTTATAGCATAACAACTGTAACAAGAACAAAATGATTATGAGGTCAGTTCCAGGCAACTGATCCGTGCTGAAAGAGTTAAAGCTATCCCAGTCATTATATGTACAATTGTTAAGGTTATCTAGGTCATTACAAGTGTTAGAGTTGTTTCAGAGGTTAAAAGTACAACAGCATTGCAGCTATCTTAGTTATTACAAGTATGAACGTTTTACAAACTATCACAAACACTAGAATGAATGTAATAAAAATGTTTCAGCCACTATAACAAAACTGTCAAAGATATCTTTGCCATTGTAAAAAAACTAGTCTTGTGCATAAAGAGAAAGCACTGAAGATGGTCTTAATCATTATCATGTATAAAATTTAGAATAAGTGATGGAAACTAAATAAAATTTACTGTCTTTACACAGGCTCGGTCAAATTGACCAACCATGTGAGCACTTTGTACTTGTTTAAAGTCATTATAATTTTGATACTACTAACATTTAATATAGTATTTGTATCTTCACAAAATTTGGCAGACTTTCAGTACACATTAAAAGTCTTTCACATACTAGAAATCAGAATTTTTAGTGAAGAATATATAGTAAACTAAAAAAAGATTTGTCCATGAATATATTGAATATTTTTTTTTGAGTAGTCCAAGTGCTGAGTGATTTTCATGTTAAAATTAAATATACTTTTCTTCATCTCAAATTTCATTTGCATAATCTCCAAAACCTCATGAATACATTTCAAATGTTTGTTTTCAGTAAAAATTTATGTTGTATCTGTTATTTTCTCTACCTCTAATTCTATACAAGGTTGGCCAATTTGACTGACCTTGTAATCACCAAAAAAAAAAAGAAACAAATCTAATTACCCTTTTTTTCTTTCTAGAATGATTTCACGTTGTAATATGAAATTACATTTGTTTATCCTAAGTAGCTTTAAGCTTGTAACAGTGTACATCTATTTATAATTACATTTTATTGCCCTTTGAACTGTGCCTAACTACTATTTGTGCCATTATAAGTTGAAAATCACTTGGGGAACATGGTGCTCATGTTACTATCGCATTACATTACCCACAACTTACTCCAAGCTACTTGCATGCGTGCTTCATGAAAATTTTGTATTATATTATTATTACTTATTTTACCTAAGCTAACTTAAAGAGATTCCTTTTTTTTTTATTTACATATATAATAATAAATAATGAATAGACATGAAAAATAAGAAATAAAGTACTTACCTGGACCTCTTTTTTTGTTGTTTAATGTCAATGACACTCAACCTTACTTTTTTATATACTAATGGTTCTAGTGCACTAAATCATTTTTATTTAATTAAACATCAAAAAGCAGACAATGTCCCATAATTATAACAATTTTTCATGTGCAGTAAAGGATGCCCGTGCAGAGGGTTAATAGAAAATCTGAAGAAAACTAAATTCTGACATTACAACATTTTCTTTTTTATTCAGTTTCTATCATAAAGTAAATGAACAACTCTTATAATGGCAATATTGTTCATCAATACAATTATTTCTGTACATAGTTAAATACTGTACAAATGTGGTTACAGTTGTTATAACTTATATTTTCATGTTATTATCAAAAATAATAATATGAACAAAAACCACAAAAAATAAAACTTTCTAGACTTAGCAGGGATTACATAAGAACTTGTACATTAAATTAAACATAAAATACAAACTTTCTCACCCAGGAGTTGAGAATTTGGATTTTTCTGATGCTACAACAATATCACATGAAGCAATGAGCTGACAACCTGCAGCCGCTGCTAGGCCTAAAGAGTAAGTGACAATAGGTATACAAAAACAAAATCATTTAATTTGCTGATTAACAACTCAATGCATATAAAAGTTATCAGTTGATAAAAAAAATCAAATTAGAGAAGTTTAGTATATGTAAATCATACAGTTGGTACAACAATCACTAAACTCTCCAATTAACGTTTAAAAATATAGCTACATTTTTCTTTTTTAAATATACAGATATTACTATAGCATTACACATAATTATCCTACCCTCCCATGATAAAGTGAACTGTCATTTTTTACCTTGTCTTAAATAACTTCAATAAAATTACTCTCATTTCTTATAATTCAATCTTCTTTTTTAAGATACATTTCAATTTTATAGTATTACGCTTGATACCTTTTGAAATGTGGAAACATTGGATAATCTTGTTCCATTTACTCAGATATGTATCTTAATTACTTTATGTTAATAAAAGTTTTAGTAATAATTTATACATCTCACATTCTTCATAAATCAAAAATAAAACTTTTCAAATGTTAAATATTTTGTTTATTCTAAGCTTCAAAGAAAAAAACACTCTTAGAATATATCGTACCAAAGCTTCAAAGCTATTGAACAGTCAAACATAATGTGTTTAAATTTCTTTATTTAGAAATGGTAAAATAGCTTTTCTGACTGAACTTTACTCATCCTTATTGTTCCATTATTTACATAAATCATAAAATAGTTACTTTGGATTGAAACGTTTCTTTAGAGACAATCCTGTCACCAGGAGAGCTATTAAAAGAAATTTCAGGTTATGACTTTGGTAATTATATAAAACTAATGTAATTTTTATGAAACCACACAGTTTTCACATTTATCTGTCTTATTCTAGATATGGCCAAAGATAATAGCTTTTATTTCTAAAATATACATTTTCTGGAATATAAAGTATTATTTTCCACTTTTAAAAGTTGAAATATTACAAACTATTTTATTAACTACATTATACCTAACAAAATGAGATCTGGACAATGTTTTGGCTTCAATACTGAGGCCTTCTTCAGGTCAAAGTTAAAATTTGTACAATTGTATAGTCATTTTGTTGGCAAGTGTAGTCCTCCAAAAGAGTTCTTTCCAGTATAATTGTTCCTAGCTTTGAATACAAAAATCTGGAAGTGTAGTTTGATGAAATATTGTCCAGGAGTTGCTGATGTCAAAGCCATGGTTTTGCATGAATGTAGGTTATATAATTTCACGTGAAGGGATTCTTTAAGTTTTCTAAATTTTCCAGTGGTGAGCAATGTCCAGAATACAATGTTAGTCCTAGTTTATGATATGGCCATTTTTGTAATTACATCCTGCCCATGCTGATTTTTCCTGATGTGTCAGTTCTAGCCTTTTAGTCACTGCACAGTTAACAATTCAACTTGGACATGTAGAAGGTCTCAGTAAAGAAGCTAAAATATTATACCACTCTGGAAGCATTAAATCCTAAACTCTACACTATCTAAAATCCCTTGAAACAACATTTCCAAGTCTTTATATCTTTATTAAATTTTTTTTGAATTTCTAATGATAAGTTGCCTAATTTTATTTTATTTTTGACATAACTAAAATGTATACTAAAAATCTGAAAAATAATTGCTTTTCCACCTAATACATTTTTATTGTGGTACCTTTCAACAAACCCTTAAAAAACTTTTTTGTTAAATTTACTTCAAAAACCCTAAACTCTGTTTACAGATCCTTTAATTGAAAACAAAACAAAATAAAATTGTAACATATTTCTATATAGAGTTTACTTAATATAATTACCAATACTTTCCACACTAAGTATATTTGGTTTAGCTTTGATATAATTGGCAGAAATTACTTTGGTAATAACAAATAAAACAATGGGGATAATGCTACTTTGCTTAACATCAAAGTTCTACTTTAAGATATATCGCTGTGAAGCTGTTATTTACCATGTTTGTAAGTATATCTTGAAATGGAATTTTAGCCATCTAAACTTTTATGAAATTTATTCATTATTATTATTATTAGAATATTCATTACATTTCTCAGATTGTAAAATTATAATCTTCCATTTGACCTTTTTCCAAATATTCTCCTTATCTCTTTTCTTTAGGTAAATAAATTATTCTTTTATTTTAAATTATTTCAAGTATTTTTAGAATGATTTTGTTTATTTTCAAGATTAGCATTCAATTCATTTTACAAACTTCTGAACTTCTAGCATAGAGGTATTAAAATACCATGTATAGAAGATCCCTTTTGTTCACTATCACATTTAAAGCTTAACAAAGGTGTAGTTCAGTTCTTTCTGTTTTACAGAATAATATATTTGTCATAACATTTGTCATTTGCAAAATGATCTAATTATGTTTACAGAAGGAAAATAAATATATTTTACAATATTTTCATACATTCTACTCAATCAGTCAAAAGTGAATTCTGTTGAGAACTAAAGATTTTTTACTATTCCAAGTGTATTTCCTGGATTTAAAGTTTTTAGATTCTCTTTTATCTATTGGTGAATTATATATTTCATGTAAAGGAAAAAAGTAAACATTTAATTCTATAAAATGATGCCATAAGATGTTAGGTTTAGCTCTTAGCAATTTAATATTCACTTTTCAAAAAATAAGATTAAAAGAATTATTTAATTTTCCTCATCTGTGATCTAGCATTACACAATGTCCTTGTATTTTATCATTAGTTGTAATAAACCTATCTCCTTCATTTATAGCTCTTATATAAAATTTCTAATAAATGCATAATCAATCCTTTCATCATATTTTCTTACATAAAACTATGTTTTACTTTTTTATCAAATCAAGAGAATTCCTCTTCTTTTTAATCTTAATTAGACCTCTAGTGTTAAAAAGTTGTACATTTCAATTTGAGATTCCTACTGAATTTGTTTTAATAATATAAAACCTAGAGCTACTTATCATATGCAAGGTATATATTTTTTAACTTTATTTTAGTAGCTTGCTTCTTTATCATCCATGCAATGATTTATTTATTTATATGTTAATACAATTAATGATACAAAAAAATATAAGCTTACTGGAAAAAAAAAAGGTAACTGCTCATACATGGCACATGCATATCCTGGGTATTTTACCTACTAGAAATGTCTATACAAAAACAGAAAAATTTAATTCTATCATTACTTACTTATTTTTATATCCTTTGAGAACAATTTTCCAAGATCAAAATTTTTTATTCAACATTATTAATTTTTTTCTTCTTGATTTATGAATTAACTATTATTATTTCTTCTTTATATCTTTTTTCATCAGTATCAAAAACAGCATCAATATATCTACTTGTCTGATGAAATTTGTAGGCTACTTTCATAATTATGTAGTTTAATCAATTTGCTGTTTGTTTTTGCCTTCAATTCTAAATTTTGTAAATTTCAGGTCATCTTAATGGTCTGAGGGTTTCTTTCATAACTTTCTATTTTTGTCAGTACCACAAAATTTATTAAGTGGTGTTTCTTATTAAAAAAAACTGCTCATCTGCCTCAAGTGCTATACACATTTCTTTGTTCTTAAACTTAGTATTTTTTCTGTGCCCCTTTCAAAGTTGTTCATGCTACCACTTCATTTAATTGCTTCCTTAAACATTTTTATCCACCTACCCTGGAGATTACCATAGTTATAATTATCAATAAAAGTAAAAAGTTACTTAATTCCTGAATTTTTGAAACAGTGAATTATCCTGACTCCATTCCACATGATACATGTGTTTTCTTTCTATGACTATACATCAGTTTTTTTCTATTAAAAAAATAGGTTGTTGTTTAGTAAAAATATTTACAGTTCATATAATATATATATATATACATTTTCCATATACTGATTTTGAAATGAAAAAACTGAAGTCACCTAATTAATATTTCTTCACTCTCACGTACACAAAACTTTCAATGCTAGTAAATAGAAAAAAGACCTCATAATCATGATGCAAGAATGTTGATAATGAGCAAAATAATGAAAAGCTGGAACTCAGTGAATCTCTTCTTGGGACTTGCTTTACTATTTCACATATTCAGAGTATGTACAATAACTTTTATGGTTCAATACACTGAGAAATTCACCACTGACAGACAGACACTGAAAAATGTTAGAAAACTGTTTTAGGTTTTAGAAGGTAGAAAATGATTGGTTCTTATAACACTTTTTACCATTCTAAAGAATTACTTAAGACACTTAATAATCAAAAAACTTTGAACAAGCTATAAAAAATAGTCTGTTTATCAATAAAAGAAACTGCATATGGAATATCATGCTTCCTTTAAAGTTCAATATTCCATGTATATTCAAAAATAACAAGACAGACCAAAAAATCTAGAGTTTGAAAACATCACTTCTTTTCTCCACAATATTTTTTTTTAATGTTTACTTATCTACATGTGGCCTAGAATTTTTGGTATGTCCTTCTGAAGAAAAAACACCTTTAAATCTGTATGCTACGAGCTTCTTGCACTTTATACACAAGGTCTTCCCTGGCACATCCACTTTAAGATAACATTTATTGAGTATGAATGACACATCATATTCACCTATTTCTAATATGAGTGATTTTTCCCCTTATTTGTACTTCACTGAATTATTGTCAAATTCATTCTGTTTGTAACACAGCCACTTCATCATTATGATAACATCATTTTTATCTCATTCCATACAGCCCATAAATTGATAATAGCACTTCTTTCATAGAATATTGCAAACATTTTTGGAATTAGAGATTTTGTAGGTAAAAGGGGACTATTTCAAGATGAACAATGTGCGAGATATTCAGACTTAGAGGATTATTGAAACTTAACATAGAATCAGTAGGACTAAGATGATTTTACTCTGCAATATTCAAATAAAAGAAAAGAAGTTACTAAGAGGGCATACACTCTACCTTCCCTCAATGCTTTTTTTTCAGATTTAAATTGATATCAAAGATGATAAGTTTGACTGAGAAAAAAAAAAGAAATCAACACACCTGTACTGAGTTAAAACTAAAGGGGTCTGTTTGAATATTCATCCTTCTATAGAATAAAAAGAACACACCTCTAACTTGGGCAATGACAGGTACAGGACAATTGTGAATGGCCATCATGACTTCTGTGCATCTGCTGAATATTTTCTTATGATAATCCTCTCCAGTCTTAGTAGTCTGTAAAAAAAAAATCAAAAAAATATTTGTATCTACTGAAGAGTTCATGATAATCCATCCTTGTTTCTGTGATCTTTAAGCAAGACTTTCTATTGATTATATTTGTTTTTATTTCTATTCATCTACTGAATAAACTTAAAGTTAACATTTTCCAACACTGAAAATGTATTTCCAATAGATACTTACCTCCTCTCATATATAGCTTTACCAATTCAGTGCTGTCCTCTATATGCAAACTTTTCTCTCACCACTAGCCTTGAGGCTTCCACCTAAACTTACGTGTTTCCACATGATATGGCTGCATTGTTGCATGCAAATGAGCATGTGACAACCCTCCACCAACAGGAGTGCACTACACCCTCCTACCATAGCTGACTCCCTCTATACTATGCAAGAAAAGATGCACTGGAAGTGGAGAGAACAGGTGAGAAGTGTGAGTGGATGTACATATCTATCAGAAATACATTTTCAATGTTTGAAAATGTTATCTTCCAAAACAATACATAACTTCCATTCATATATAGCTGGAATCCCACATTGAAATAGTGAAAGGACCAGTGCAAAATTTACCTAGATGAGTCCACTTCAGGAAGTGCCTGAAAAGAAACCCATGGAGTGTGACACCCTATACTACAGAATTGTATAAGGGCACACCCATTGGAGACTGTACCTTGTCTGTACCAGGGTACACTCTTTGCCTGAAAAGAACAGATGTATCACTAGGTTAGACAAAAAACATGCACAGTCTAGAATCTGATTCAGTGTCATAGATGTGTCAATTTGTGTATTGTGGTTAGGGCGTATCAGATTGTACATGGTAGATCAACTCCTGTCCAAATCCAGGCAACATCTAGTATTTTTCATCAAGTCCATGGTAGGAGGAGAGTCCCTACCATCTTCACCTCAATCCCAGTTAAGCAGAGCAGAAGAATAACATCTGCCCTGCTATCTGAGTGAGGGTTTATGTTGACTAGTCCTGCACAAATCCAACACTAAACCACCATGGAACTCAACAGTATGATTGGGCAAATCCAGCTGAAAGGGTGAATTGGACTACACCAACAGAACACCTCCACCCTATGCTCTATTGAGTGGAATTGGTCACACTTCAGAGGGATCCTCCATGGTCCACCATGCCAATAGCTAGGAACTGGTGAGTGGCAAGGACTTCCATGATTCACTAAAAGAAAGGGAATAAAAGCTTGTTGGGGAGTCCGGAGGAGCATAACACCATAAGACAATGCAATGCGTTACCACAAAAAACTTATATTAAAAAGGAGGATGAACAGTTATCCTCTGTCTGCTTTACTCATGATAGTCCATGAGTGGGTGCAGTCTGGATTGGGCCTTGATTAGGAAATTATGCAATGCATGGATACCTCTAGCAGTCTTGTGGAACAACCCACCTAATAAGTAAGTGCTATATCAGGCCTTGAAGGCCCTATACTGTGTAGATTTAGGATAAGGATACCCTAGCAGGCATCATTTGCCACTGAGCAGGATCTAATGAGGTATGAGAAAGCACAGGAGAGGAAAGATAAAAAGAATGTAACCAGTCAGAGCCAGGAAGATGTATGTAGAATGGTAACTAGAGGTAGCCTGTAGCCTGACAAAGAAGAAACGGCCAGAAGATGAAGGTAGTGTGCGGGATTGTCCACATGACAGCCTTTACAATATTATGCAATGCATGAAGGATGTTAGCACCCAGAAAGAAAGTAAGGTGCCCGATTTGATGGGAGGTCACCTGGAAGGGTCAACAAAAAGCATCCTCATCCAACAAAGAACACACTGATGAGGTGAGGAAGCCATCCAGTAAGGGTAATTGGAGAAATATTGCAGGTGGAAAACAGATTCCAAGTAATGAAGATACAGGTAGGGGAACCACAAAAGGAAGTGGTGTAGGCCAAATAGCAACATGGATAGAACAGAGTAGGTGATCAGGATCTGAGTGAGAATAAAAATGAGAAATAAATAGGAGTGAATCTACTGTCACCCTCATGTGCTACAGATGTCTTAGGGAGAAAAGTACAATCAGGATAGAGCAATGGAAAAAATAAAAAGAGCAAAGAATCAATGTCACACATGTCAGAACATCAATAACCATAGGTGAAAAGGATGAAGAAATAGGTGTTAAGAGAAGAGATAAAATAAGGAACAGAAAGCCAAAGGTACAAACAAAGAAAAAGTAAGGGTTTGGAGAATAACACTGAGGTCCCGGTCTGAAAGACAAGAAGAACAAAGGTGGTGAAAGGAATGGAAGAGCATAGTAATGATCAGGGAGGAAAACTAGACAGTAACTGAAAAACAGAAAAGTATGAGAAAGAGAGATAGCCACCCAGTAACTAGAAAGGGTCAATACCGATAAATATGTCATTTCAGCTAATAGACAAGAATGGAGGATAGGCAAACAGAACAAGAAAGAAGGAAGGTTACAATACAAAGAGAGTATGCAACATCTTGCAAGGGACCAGACAAATCCCACACGTGAAGTCAGAATGATAATACAGCTGGATGGAAGAGAGAAGAACAATACTGAAAAAGAAAAGAATGGGATAGAGGAAGATGAGGGGAGGACTGTAGAAAGCTGTTGAGAGGAAATAATTGTTGAGCAGGCCTATAGGGTGCCCCAGAAATACCCCAAACGAGGAAAAGAACAAGAAGCAGAAGACATATAGGGGTAAACATAGAGAAAAAGTTAGACTAGTCCAAAATGAATGCATCTACTGTCAGAGCTGATAGATGCAGAACAGAAGTCCAGAAAAGGGAAAGCTTGAACTTATGTTAAGTGACAAAGGCAACAATGAGACAGGTGCTCAGATGAGACCAAAGCCACTGGAAAACCTGATGATTGAGGGACCACTCCTTGGGAAAAAATCAAGTCAGGTCTTGAGAGACAAAATATGACAAAATTCAGAACATCTGGAACATGACAATCCATCAGTCAGACTTGTAAAGAATGGACCCAAAAGAGGGGATTGAGGGAGTGGAAACAGTGAGAATGAAAAGAAGAACCCCCTGGTGATATGGAGGGTCAATTTATCTGGAGACCATCAATCCAAAGTCACCAGAGAGTTGAGACTAGCACTTTGCTCTGTCAGAGAAGCATCTGTAAAAAGAAGGAGATCTAGATGAGAGGGAGGAAGAGGAATATATTCTGTGGTATTGGTTCAGTTGAGCCACCAGGTGAAATCGATATGCAGGGAAGAAGAAATATGAATAAGAGAGGACAAAGGATCTCTAGGTTCTATCGATCATGCAGAGTCCACTTGAGCATGTGAACATGACCCAAGGAGATAAAGGATTCCAAGGAAGCCCAAGTCCCCAAAAGAGAGAGAACTTCCTATGCAGGGAGAAAAAGGAAAGGACAGAACAGAGGACATCAAATGCTCCATGTCCCTTAAATGAAGAGGAAAAGGCTGGGCTCTGCTCTGATGAAAATTGAAGACCACACCTAAAAGAACCAGATATGGAATGAGTGTGACATGAGATTTCTCTGGCTTTACTTACCAACTAAGACAGGATGCTTCCTGAAGGAGCAGAAGAGTATGGTTGTAGGAGGCTTGATAGGATAGAGCTAAAAGAAGCCAATCTTTTATATAATGGTGGAATCACAATTCCAAGCCATGAATGTTAATGAGAAAAAAGCATGCATTACTTCGCAAAAAACATATGGTGCCAATGCAAGTCCCAAAGGGAGAGTGCGGAACTGATAAACCTAACCTCATTGAACAAACCAAAGGTAAAGTCTAGAAGCATGGGAAATGGGGATGTGAAAATAAGCATTTGAGACAACTATCTTGGTCATCCAAAGACTCACAGTAAAACAAAAAGACCATAGTAGGGTAAGAAAAGTCTCCATGAGAAATCAAGGTAGGTCGAGAAACAGATTGAGATGCAAAAAAGATATGACTGGATACCAATCCTCAGTTTATTTGGAAATGCCCAACAGAGAGGAACAAAATCCTGGAGAAGGATGAGAAACCCATTGGATAGTGACTTCAGCCAACAGGTCTGACATTGATTCTAACAGACACTAGCAAGAAACTGGATCCCATGGAGGAGGGAAAGTAAAAGGAAAAGGAAACGAGGGAGGAGGAGTGAAAAAACAATGGGTAAGGCCCTCTGATAAAACTTGCAACACCCAATGATCGGCCAGAAATGAACTCTAAAGATCTGCAAAGCGAGTTAAATGGGTCCTTACAGTCCATAAGTGAAACTGAAATAAAAAGAATCCAATATGGACTTGAATATCCGAAGAGGAAGGAAAACATAAAAGTTAGAAGCAGGGAACAAAGTAAGAGACAAAGGAGAGAAAAAAGGAAAGTAACCTATCTGAGAAAATGAAATTATGAAAAAAAGACCTAGGGAGATCCATGAAAGCATGTCTAGAAGATCAGGCAAAGGTAGTTGGTGGGAAAAAGCTGTCAAAATCCCCTTTGACACAAACAGAAAACATAGGAGGAGGTACATGATGTTCAGAAGAATGTCAAGGCCATATGAAAGACCTCATTTCTCATTGTACAACAGCCATCACTACCTCAACAGACAGACAAACCTGATGCCATTTGAGTTAATAATTTACTGTCAATAAAGTCTTGTTGTCCCACACCAGACAAAGTGGAAGTTACCATCACTTGTGAACTAATAAATGTGAAAATAAAATGCTACAAACTCTGCTGGAGCAGAAATGTTGGAAAATGAAAATCCAAATTTAATATTTCCACAACAGTTAGTGTTTTTGTAGATACTTCCATAAAAAACGTCTATGTTTCAAAAGCTGATAAGTGAAAAAATGGCACGTCTTTACACACAAATGCCAAATCAAGAAGTGATGATTGAACAGTCAGTATAGAGGGAGTTAGCTGTGCTAGGAGTGGTTGTTGCACTCCTATTGGTGAAGGGCTGCCACATGTTTATTTGCATTCAATAATGCAGCAATATCATGTGGAAACATACGAGTTTAGGTGGGAGCTTCAAGGCTTGTGGCAAGCAAAAAGGTTTGCATACAGAGAGCAGCTCTGAATCAGGAAAACTATATGTGAGAGTAGGTTACGTATCATATCAGAATAATAATCAATCCACTCATATGTCTATGGTCTTTAAGTGAGACATAAATTAGGCATATACTGAAAAATATTTCTTATCATTAAATACATTTACATAAGCTTACCAATTCTTGTAAGTCATGTCCTGATGAGAAGACAGGCCCATTACCTGAGATCAAAATACATGACAAATTGTTTTTATCCAAGTTTGAAAGGTCTTCTTTCAAAGAATCCAACATTGATAAAGAAAGAATATTTCTGGAAGAAACAAAAAAAAACAGAAAATTATATGAGTGACAAGAAATACATCATGCACAATATAAATTTTTTTAATATAATTTGTATATAACTGTTATGGAATAAAATCTTAATTTGTTTTATTTACAAAACTTTTCCCATCTAAACTTTTTCTACATGTAAATTTAGCTAAATGCATTCACCATTATGATGGCCTATTTTTCCTAGATGTCATTTGTTTAAAACATTGGATTGTATTTTACTGTTCAATGGGTATGTACAAATTTTTCTTTATATGTATTAGTACAAACCATAACCAAATCTAAATGAAATAATGCTACTCTCATCCATCCAATAAAAGTTTAAAATAATATAGCACACATCACATTATCATGTAAAACATTCTACAAGGTTTATAACTATAACCAAAAATATAGTTTTATAAAAAGTAGGTCTGCTTTTATGCTTCCAAAGCATTAATTTCTAAATAGCAATAATCTATACACATATACATTTACAAAACACTAGTCTACTAAAACACAGCCAAAACTGGTCACTTTGTACAGACTAAAGTTCAGTTTTATATTATTGGATAAGTAACATGAGTGCACATGCGACGAGTCATTGTAACTTCTGTATTGTTCGCCAGGCATGGCTGAAAGGTAAATATAATAAAAATAACAAATATAAGTATAATGTTATGACATTTAAGCTACTTAGTCTAAACATTTATGTTTTCATGTTATAATTTGTTGTCATTCTAGAATAAAAAAGGTATAATTTATATTTATTTTCTAATATTTTTAACATGGTTATGAGGTCGGTCAACTTGACCAAACCCGTATACAGATTCGTTACTGAAAATAACAGATAAGATATAAAGTTTTTTTTCTTAAGAAACATTTGATAACTATCTGGGCATTATAAAGATTTCACATGTGAAATTTGAAAATTTTCTGATGCATAAAAGTATTTTTAATCTTAAAATGAAAATTACTTTGCATGTTGGATAGGCAACATTCAAAAAGAAAAAAGGCATGAGAAAAACATTGCTTTACAAACCTTAAGACTTAATAAATAAATTTGATATTTTACATATGAAAGCATTGTAATGTTTACTGATAATCTGCCAAATTTTATTAACATACACTGACTAATTTAAAAGTTATAGCATGGAAACTATAACAAGTACAATATGGTTAAGAGGTTAGTCCCAGGGACTGAGCCCATGCTAAAAGAGTTAATATAATTACCTCTTCTCACCATCTTAACATAACTGGGAAATTTGGATATATCAGTGTCCAAGAAGCTATTCGATTCATGGACAGACAGATACAAGAACATATATAAATTGAATGATTCACCACTATATGTAGCCATATTCTCCCTTCTTTCATTTGAAAAATGTCAACTTTTTAGTTATTTTTTATTTGATTTCCGCAGGACAACAAGGGGTCATTTGGGCCACCTAGACTATCCCATTTCCTACTACCCCTTTACTACAAACTACATAAATAAAACTGCTTTATATTCTTTAAAATACACATTCAATCATCTCTTGAATTCTTTTGATGTTACAGCTTCTACCAAACCTGAAGGCACACTATTTCATAGGCTGATTATTTTATTAGAAAAGTAACAATGACTTAACTAGAGTTGTGTATGAGTTTTCTCATATCATAAACTGGTGTCCTCTAGTCTTACTCTCTACAAATTGTTTGAAAACATCATCTGGATATATGGATTTCAAACTTCTAGCAATCTAAAACACTTCAGGTTCTCCCAGACACTATTTTCCTTCAAAAAAAAAAAAACAAATAAAAGATGATATTAAGGTTTTGGGTGTTGCTAGCTGTGAAGAGAATGCTGCTGATTTACAAAAGGATTTAAATGGTTTGGTGAGTTGGGCAAATAAATGGCAAATGGGTTTTAATTATAATAAATGCAAGATAATTCATGAGGGTTATCATAATTTGAATTATAAGTATAAGTTGGATGAGAATAATCTTAATTGTGCTATGAAGGAAAGGGATCTTGGTGTAATAGTTGATCAGTCTCTAAAGCCATCCAAGCTGTTGCTAGTAATAGGGCAAATAGGATTTTAGGTTATATTTACAGAGATATTGAATACTAGTCTAAAGAGGTTGTAATTTCATTGTATATGTCACTGCTTAGGCCACATTTGGAATACAAGGTATACCAGGATATACAAGTATATTGGAGGGGTTGTCATCATTGAGGAAAGGTTTAAATCTCTCAAATTGTTTTCTCTTGAAAAAAGAAAAGTTTGGGGAGGGATCTGATTCAGATGTTTAAGATTGTAAAGGGAATTGATA